TAGGATTTCACGACGCCTCATAAAAAGCCTGAGTGATAGGTTGGAAGGTTATCCTTTATAAAGGCTGTAGGTGTTCCTAGTTTTGTGGAAGCTTTGTGCTTCTTGTTCGGCATTATGCACCACACCGTGGGTGTCGTTCAAAGGTGCTACAAGGCCTTCATGTTGATACTCGATAGTCTTTTAAATGTCTGGCAATACTCGTTTTTGCATTTTATGCACGGAATGAGCAAGTGTCGTACTTCAATCCGTTTCTTAATCCAGACGTATGAAACACTCCGACGGATTAGCGGTGGATTGGCGCGGCTTAAAAATACCTTAATCCGCGACTTTTAATCCAAGTGGAAACACCCCCAATCTGCGGTAATGTCAGCCCCCTGACAGCCCCGGTTCCACAATCAATAATTTGGTTTCAATTATGCCCGTCGATTTTGCATTACAAACCTGAATAATATGTTCCTCGGTGCAGAAATAAGTTTATTCCTAATCCATGGACGCTGGGGTCCTCCGGGCCCCACCCAGACCACCGCCGATGAGTTTCAATATTTGTACAAACGACGGGTTTGGGGTATGTGATGACACGCACGCACGCAACAGTGTCCAGAATCGTGTCATGGCGCACGCTTAGATGCTCTGAAATGCAGTCCAATTGGCTGCTGCTTCAAAAGGGTTGCAGAGCCCAAAAATGTACCGATAACGCCCGCTGGAGTGCTCATTAAATGGATCGTTCGTACACCATCATTCGTTTTGATCATAGCCGGGCGTCGTGTTGAAAGACAGTCGTCAAGACTCTCCAGGCTGCAGTTATGCCACACAGCAGGTCAGAAGCAGTCCTATACCTGGTTGATTCGTGCGTGTGACCTTTGTGGCAGTGTCCATGGCATATAAGTGCTACAAGACGGTTATTTGGAATGTTTCCTGTAAGAGTCGAGTGCCTTTCGCATGGACAGCCAATAATAGCTGGAGGAATAATCCAGTCTCGAATCGAAAGACAACAGAATCGAAACCATTCCTCAATTTCAGGACCAGCAACAATGCTTAATCCGAATTCGGAATAGATTCCTGTATTAAAACCACTGTCCGCGACTGCCCTGTTTCAGTCCAGCAGCATTTTTGAGCAGTTACCCAAATTACAGCAAGCAGTAAAGGCAACAGAACATAAATGCTTACAGCCCAATCACAACTAAAGTATGACCCTTAATTCATTCCATAACGCCTACTGTACCTTCCGTGTGGCATCCGCAGATGGCTACAGTGATGATGTCAGGGCAAAACTTGCAGCAGCGCACCCCTCAGAGTTTGAGGCTTTGAACCTAGGCGGGTTTGGTTACAGGGTTTACATGAAAGCAGAGTGTAATAAATGGCTAGATGGTCACGACAGGATCCAACAAACAGGCTACATGCCCAATCCATAGCAAGTGAGATAGGAACTGCAACGATAGACGGGATGAGTTCGTTACAAAGGACATATGTCACAGCAGTATGGGACATGAACGAAATGTGGGGAGAATCATGCACAGGACTAGAAAGAACGACACTAGAAGGCAGGGCAAAGGAGCAGCTCGACCACCGTAACATAACCCCACACACAAGGGTGCGTCAAGCTCACCACTGTAGAGGTCGGTTTCCACGGCTGCAGGAGCGTATAATTTCGGTTGGCGGTGGCATTGGGGGTGGCGGCGTGCAGGAGTGTTATCGGCTGCTGTTCGGGGGCGGTGGCGTTGCGGGTGGCGGCGGGCAGGAGGGGTGCTGGCTGCTGAGTGGGACCGGTGGCGGCGGTGTTGGCTTGAGTGCGCCTTTTCTTCTGCGGAGGAAGGGCCACGGTGCTGGCGTTTCCGGAGGTGGGAGGTGGTGTTGCTCAGAACAGTAGAGCTTGACCATCACCGTCGCTGCCCGCTGGCCCAAGTAACGGCTCTGGCGCCTCAATATCTGTTGCTGCGGGCTCAGCTGTGATTCTGTGACCGGTCAGCGTGCCGGCCAATGTGCGTAGTCGGCCGCTGGAGACTTCGGCACGCGTTTCCTTCATTCCCCGGCGAGAGGTTGTCGACATGCCGCGGCCAGTAGTTAGAAAGCATGCCATAAAATAAAGAAGATGCCGACGATGATGTACAGGATAGCCCACATGGAACAAATCCCCGATAAAACCCCCTTAAGTGCTGCAGCAGCTGCAAGTCATCAGTACAGACGCTAAACTGTGATAACTTATCAATTACAGCCGTCGCCGAATTGTATAGAGCTGGTCGTGACAAAGTCAAACACATAGTTCAAACCCTAAGTCAAACACATAGTTCAAGTCCAGCGCGCGGCCCTACGGGCCGCAATAGAGACAGCAAGTCATGTCTTTTGGTCAAATTTTGGTCATTTGGGAACCGCAGCCGGGGCCTTAACCAGAATTTCGGCGGCGGGTACTGTAGTACAGATCCGCAGTACCCGCAGGATTTGCCGACCTCTGGTCAGAGACAGTAAAGAACGCAGAGGGTACCTCGCTGGGCTAGCCATGCAACTGAGATAAAAAAATTTGGTAAGGAGTAATAAGTGCGGAAGCGATAGGAGTGATTCGACTCTGGGGTCCTTAACCGGTTGGTCTTCGATACCAAAATTGTAACAAAGCTCGACGACTAGCGCAACGAGTCACGAAGAGTCCAAGATCCAGTGGCATTCAGAAATACCGATTTGGTATTGGAAAGTTAGACGTACCGATGGTACGGATGGCCGTTGGCCGGTTCCCAGCGTTCGGTTCCGGCATAACCTGCATTTTGCGTCTATGTGAGACTTATCATGTTTTTAACACATTTTCCTTACTGGCTCTGACATGAGCCTTTAATATTTGCAGAGGCCTGTCCTTTGTGTGTCGTGACTCCACATGAGCTACGGTTAGAGTTTGCGTAACTCAGTTACGCAATGTCAGAGCTAGCTGGACCTTTGGCCGGTGGGCCCGGGACCAATAGAGACTTGCCGGGACAAAGCAGCAAGAAGGACCAGCGCTTCGTGCGCCGCGCAGTTAGCCCTGGCAACCTTTCGGTTTCCAGGCCAATTTCTACAACATCAGGACATTTGGCGGCTGCGTCCACTTTGACGGCACCAAGTGTAAGCTTTGCCAGGCGATTCATCCGCCTCGCACCCTTCTGAACCTTTCTGTTCGGCTCTTAAATCACTTACCCATTTCATTTGATAAACATCGTAACGACAGCCAGCCGTGGCAGCACGGGCGCGCGACAAATTCGTTCCCCTGCCAGATGCCAGCAGCAAAGCACAAGTCGTCCCGGAGGAGACGGAGGAGGAGCTGATCGAGCCTCCTCTTGGCTCTGCACAGCTGCAGACGCTCTCTCAGAAACGCGGTCGTATCACAGTGGTAAGTCGTGTGAGGGCAAAGGATTAAGGGGGGGGGGAGTGTGACCCTTGAGAGGAGAGGAGAGGAGCGACAGTGGAGCTGCTACTACTGCTGCCGCTCTTGTTATTGTTGCTTTTCTTAGGGCTAACCGCAGGTTATAGATGATGCTGTTAAGCTAGCGCTGACAATCCTCACCCAATCCCCTAAAGCGGCTTTCGGTTCGCTCGGCTTTCGTTGGCCTCTTGGCTGCCGTAAGAGTGTAAGGCCGAGTTTAGGACGGGGGCGAGGGGCTGAGGAGCGCCGGATGCCAGACTGGCGCCGTGCGCACTTGCATGGTAATGCAAGGCGATGTGTTGGTGGCGGCAGACACGGCCCGTGGCTGGTTGGTTGTTGGTTGTTGGTTGACGGATGAGAGGGGTTAATTTCTTAGTTGGCGTTTCACGACGTGACGCCTTACATCAATAACACGGCGTATGTGCAGGCTCTTTGTCGCTCTTGTTGCTTCCCTGTTCATTACTGAACTTGTTTTTAATGGGTAAAAACGTTTGACATCTCCGCAGATAACGGTGGCTGAGTCATTCAATCGTAAGGCACTGGAAGCGACCCTCCAGCATATTGTGGCGACGACTGCCGCCACCGCCACCACCAACATCGCTACTGCAACCTCCTCCTCCAACGCCGCCGCAAGTGCCACTGCCGTCGCGACCACAGCACTGACACACACCGCCGCTACCCCCTCGGTTAACGGTGCTGCAACGACTGCCGGAGCCGCCGCCGGCGGTGGTGGCGGCGCCGGTGGCGGGGGCGACACATCCACAAGCGGGGCCTGGTCATTGAGCCGTACAGGCAGCGGTGGCGTGGCGCCCGCCATCACAGGTGGCGTGACGGTGTATCCTGAGGTGTCGTACATACGAACACCGTACGGCGAGGCGGCGGAGTCCCCTGGCGAAGTGTTTTTCTTCAATTACGGTGCGCGCGCGTGCGTGTATGTATGTATGTATGTATGTACGTATCTGTATATATTACATTACATCCGCTGCTTTCACGAGCACTTCGCGGTCCCGCCTAAACGAGCCAAGATGATCCAAATGTTCCATTCAGGTGTCGTGGCGTTTTGGGGTATGACGGAAGCTCAGGAGCAGTTGCTGCTGGCGGCGGTGTTGAAGACGCAGGGAGTTGCCGTACGACTGTTGGATGAGGACGAGCGCCAGGTGATCGGGAATATTGTGATGATGATGCTAATGATGATGATGGCGACGACGTCCGTTGGGGCAGTTTGTTGTAAATAATGTTTGGTTACCCATCGGGTGGCGGTCCATGATGATGACTGCAAAGGCATTGTTATTATTGACGTGCACCAACCGCAAATCGTCAGCCGGCCAACTCCATAATATTGTTGCTTTTCAAAAAACCGATTTTTACTTTAAAAAAAGGCGGCAATTTTTTCCATTTTCACTTCCAATGTTGTACAACAACGCAGGTGGAGGAGCTGCTTTTTGTTTACACCAGGGATTCTCCACCCAACATAAAAAACGACACCTTCACCATTGACATTCGTCTGGCGGCTAACCACCAGGTAGTTGGTTAGGGTAGTTGGGTTCGTTGGACGAGTGAGCAGGGTTCGGTACTTCGGTTAACCTTAACTTGGGCGACTAGGGGGTGATAAGAGGTAAGAAGCTGCACGATGTTGCGGGTTTCTGGACGTGGTGACCTGGGGATGGGAGGGGGGAAAGAGAGCCCCAAAGGGGTTGCAAAACACGGCCGAGCTGGGTGCGGCGCAAGATCAGACCCGGCGGGACGAGGATGATAAGCTGGACACACTAGAGGTAGGACTCGGAGAGGAGGTATGGCTTCGAAAACGCGCTACGTGCCCCAACCGCTGTCACAATTGTGACGAATACGTGTGTGCATGTGTTTTCCCCTCACGCCCTCCTTCATCCCTTATTCCCCCATTCTCTTTTACCCCCAATCCCCCACCAGTATCACTCTCCGCATAAGTTTACTGCATGTGTACGATGCTCTGCCGTACAGGTCAAAATGGCCATCAGTCATGCTCTGGCCCAATCTTCCAAATTGGCGGTGTACGAGAAGCAGATGGTTGATCTAATTGGGGAGGTACGTACGTCACAACAACCCGAATGCATGAACGACCATAGGGGGTTGAACGACAACAGGCGGAATGGCAGACGGACATACATACACATAAACAGACAGACGGACATATAGACGATGAACGGACAAGAGGGTGTCTGTGCAGCGGATGGGCCTGGAGGCTGCTGTTGAGGGGGCGCGTACGGATTTTGTGTACGGATGGATACCATTTTTAGTACGGGAACGCGCTCCTGGATGTCACCTCACCTCACCAGTGGCACCCACCATCGCGCAGCTATATATATATATATATGTATATATGTATATATACATATATATACACGACAATGACATGTATACGACATATAAAACCATGCACCCGGCCCCTTGTCTTTCCCTTTGTCAGTCTGACCGCCTGTCTGTCGTCTGTCTGCCTTTATGTGTGTATGCGTGTGTATGCGTGCGTATGCGTGGGTAATGGCTGTTTTTTCGATAACGATGGTGGTTATGGTGATGGCATGCTTTTTCGTGCAACCTGTCTGAAAGGGGTTCTTTTTAAACCCCACCCTCACCCCCCTCTCCGCCATCCCCCACCCATCCTTTGCATCGTTGTGTTGTGTATAGTTCAGCTCAATCTCCCGCCTCTCGCCATTCGCTGGTCGTCTCTCCTTTTTCCCCTCTTTGCCCCCCTGGGTTGACGACTTCCTTCTCACCCTCACACACGCGCAGTAGCGGGGAGGGGTAGGGTCGGTACAGGGTTTCCGGGTTTCCTCTGTCTTAGTGAACCCTCACCCCAAGAGCCGGATCAGGCCGGGGAGGGAGAGGAGTCGTGTGGCGTGTTTAGGGCTCACTGAACGCGAACTCGCGTGATGAAGCCTTGGCTCGTGAGACTCGCGTGCACGCGCTTGCGACGCCTCCCCCCCCCCCGCGCCGTTTGATACTCTCTTGCCCTGGCAGCAGCTTCAATCGTGTGTGGTTCGTCTCTCCCCCCCCCCCCCGCGCCGGGGGAAGGAGAGCAGAGCTAGCGGACCTGCGGCTCTCGGCTGCTTAGGAGGGGGGGACAGAGGCCCCTCGCGCTCCTTTCCCGTCTGCGTTAGGCGGTATTTCCGTTGGGGCTGGGCAGCAGCCCTTCTGTGGCCAGTGTCAGGCCCGGTCAGATACTTGTAACCTTCATACACACATACACACACACAGAACCCCCCACCCCACACACAACCCCAACCCCCCCCATCGTCAGGTTCGGCATGTCCCCCGGGAAATGGCTGATCGGGGCCGCATTTCCCTCAGCAGCAGCAAGGTAGCGAAGCTGATGGGAGAGGTGAGAGGATGTGTGTGTACGTATGTATGGATGGATGTGTATGGATGTTCCACTGCTGTTACTCCCCGACCGTACCTATATATATACATACGTACATACCTATCTATTATGTACATTGGGAGCTTGGCGATGACCGTCGCCTGTGTGCTTTTACCGCCTCTTTTCATGTTACCTCCTGATTCCTGATGTGGACACCTCACACTCCCGCCCATCTTAACCTCCCCCCTCCCCCCCCGCGGCTTCAGGTATTCCTGCTCAAGGCCGCAGTCAACCTGAACGCCACCATGCTGGACACCCCCGAGTTCTTCTGGCGGGCACCCGACCAGTTGCAGGTAGGTAGGGGGCTGTGTGTACGTGTGGGTGGGTGGGTGTGGGTGTTGGGGGGCCCTGCAGGGCCTGCAGGGTTGATGGAGGTGCTTAGGACACGGCATACGAGGCCTCGGAAGGGGGCCGGTGGCCCGCACGCGGGATTTCCCACGTGGGGGTTTGGCAACGGCGGGGGTTGAGCCGGGGGAGCAAACTCCTTGGAAGGGGGGGCCAGAAACACAGGACAACACGGCAAACATGAACAATGAAAGCGAAACGAAATGTCTACCAGCTGTGAAGCTTTAAGGCTGGTGGGGTGGGGTGGGGGTGAGATTAAATCCGGGGGGGGGGAGAGGATTCGCGGGATGTGTGTGGATCAAACACCAAACGGGATCTGTCCACCTTCACCATCACCTCCGCCTCCTCCACCTTCACCTCCTCGTCCTTGCCGTTGTCGTGCTGCTGCTGTGAACCATGTCCTCCAAATCTGTTTGTACGTTGCCTCCCCCCTCCCCCACGCCTGCTGCATGTTGCTGCGTGTTCCGCCGTACTTGATCTCCATACTCGGTACGGCGCAGTCACTGTACGAACGGGCTTGTGAGTATCTGGACCTCTCAACACGCCTTGACATGCTGAATACTCGATTCATGGTAGGTTAGTTTACTGAGAGCGGTTTCATTTGTAGTTAATAGTTGGAGGAAGGCGGTTGCTGTAAGGTTCCATGCGGCGGCGGGTTCCGGATTCAAATATAAAGGCTGCGCGCAAGTATATTTTAGTACATCAGCTAAAGTTATTGTTATCTTGCGCCGGTGTATTTAGTGACCTTCATATAGAATTACGCACTTTCGTCTAAAGAGATATCATGTTATTTTCAAAGTAAGAATTCATCCGGGGTTTGAATAAAATAATT